AAATGCGAACACATACAGGCACACACACACATACAAAGAGATGCACTGACATGCTTCGTGCTTGACATTGAATTTATCTAACCAAATCCCTTTATACCTCATCAAAGTGTTTAGATATAGAATATGTACACAGCATTTAGGAGTGAGGCGATAAGTTTTCTTGACTCTTTAGCTAATACATTGCTTTGGCGACTTCCGTCATATGACGGAAGAAAGAATGGCATGCAGGAGATTGCCTCAGAAACAGCATCAATAACTAAATTCCAGTAACGTTAATCGACAACTGGTCACGAGTAATCCTCCGTCGTGGGGCAATCAAACTTCGAAACTCTTCAAAAAACACTGTCCCTCGAAATGGAAGTCAACACAATAATTAAATCTCACTTTGTAAGCATAGATACGAAGACCAAGATGTTGGGGCCTCAGTTCTGGTCGCAGACTCGTTTCGATGTTTAGCAGTCCTTTGACATGGTTTCGTAACTTGGCGTTATTAGCAGGAAGACCTAGAGCAACGCATCTTGTCCTGAGGCGATAGTATGCATGATCATTTGCAGAGTCGGACGGTGGACTTGGTACATTCCCAGACGCTTCGCCGGCATCGTAGTCAGCATCGTCAGCAAGTCTTGCCATTCGCAGCCGCAAGCTACGACGCGTCAAAGAGACAAGTGAGGTCAATCCCTTGACCAACTTTCTGTCGAGACGGTTAGGCTATCACTCTTGGTTTTGTCCTGGTCCCTCTTTCCTTTTCCTACCCTCCAGTCTCGCCCTCGTCTTATCACAACTTCTGTCATGTTTATATTGCACATGAGTTGTGACCTTCTTCCGGATTTACCGTGGCGTCATCACTTCTGTTGTCTGTCTTGCTCCCCTCTCTTTCGAGTGGCTGATCCTGCTCTATTCTCCTGTCCGGATCTGCCTCATGGGCCCATGGGTCTGTTTCTAATCTTTCTGGTTGACCGATTCCCATGCTTGTATTATGAATTTCATTCACATATCATCTCCTTAATAAAACCCATGAACCCTGAGCAAACTGTGAACATCTATTCATGGACGCCTGCTGCATTTCAAGTGGATTATGTATCAATTTGGCCATGATGTCCTATTTCTGTCATACATTCCCTCTACCTAGTCACGTAAAAGGTCAGGCCCCCAAAGTTGTAGGTGTTTATTCGAACAGACTATTCTCACTGAGAACGTCTTCGCTTTATTTCTTAAACTTTCTTGCGATCCCTTTTCCTTTGGTTTAGGATAGATCCTTGGTCATGGAGTCTCCTTATTGCTTGTCTTGTCATATCCTTGTTTTCTACGAGTTTACATTGGCAATAGGCAAATTTATCACTAACACTGTCTTCTTCTAATCTCCAATTAATTAATTTTTTTAACAGAGCTGTCAATGGCCTCCCGAATCTTCCGTTTCTTTGTGCTTTCACTGTATGACACTTTTCTTTCTGTTGCCTTACAATAGATCTCGTGTCCAATCTGTACGATGTGTTCCGCTAGTTTTGATCTTTCGGTATCCATTATCCTACAGAGCCTCTGATGTTCCTTCATTCACGTGCTA